TAAAACCAACTTTTAATCCTTCACCTTACAAATAAAAAAATACTATCTGAAAATATGGACAAAAACTTACTTTTAGTCTTTTACCTTACAAAGTTTAAAGGTTTTAGCCCATCACCTTATATTATGTCACTTTTAGTCTCTCACCTTACTAGATTTGTAGGTTTTAATTTATCACTTTATATTATCAGACTTTTAACCCCTCACCCAATGTTTTTAAAACCGGACCAGATTGGCCAATTGAACCGGTCGAACCGGTACCCGATGATGAAAACAGTTCGATTTATATGAAAAAATCGTTTGATGTCAAAATCGGTCAAAACCAGTGAAACTGGTGGAACCGATAGAATCGAAAAAACCACCGGTTCAATTTCTCATGCAATCTTCTTTCATTTTTTCCAATTTCACCCTCCCATTCCTTTTTTATACCCATTTTAACCTTTAATTTTAACAAAATTACAAAATTATCAGACACCAAATTAGAAAATCCCGCATGTAGCCTGCTCCTCTCATTGGATTTCCCTTGCTGTTTGGATTGATCGGTTCACTAGTTAAATCAGTTGAATCGGTTGAATCGGGAACCAAACCTAAAAATGGTTCAATAACCGATTCGGTTTTAAAAACCTTGCCCTCACCTATTAAAATTAAAGAAAATAATTCTCATTTTATAATATTTTGTTAGTTCTGTTAGTTATCTATTAAATTTAGTTAACTTTTGTAATAGTTGACTGTTAGTTAATTATTAGTTGACAAAAATCTTCTTTTAATTAACAGAATTAACATAACTAATTTTATAATATTTTGTTAACTGACTATTAATTGACTGTTAATTGACAAAAATTTACTTTTAGCTAACAAAGTTAATAGTCAGTATAAAATGAGGGTTACTTTTTTCGATTTTAATAAGTGAGGGGTTAAAACCTATAACTTTAGTAAAGTGAAGGGTTAAAAATGTTATAGTATAAAGTGAGGGGTTAAAACCTTCAAATTTGATAAGATGAAAGGTTACAAATATGTGTGATAACAATTACAATGGATAACATTTTAGGTAAACTACATCAAATGGTTGTTTATTTTTATCATAATTTTCAATTTAATCACTCTCTTTTAAGTTTGTAAATCCAATCCTTGAACAATGGACATTCATTTAACTTAGTATCAGGAGGACGAGGAAAAAGAAAGAAAAAAAAAAAGATCGATGTTTTGGGGATTTATCTTGTCTTGATTGCTTCAAGCCATGACATTAATTGCAAAGATTGTGCTATTTAGTCTCAAGAATGTATTAAAAGGTGTCTAATACTACTTAAAACGTCTAACTTTGGGTGTGTTTATAGATATATGTTAGCTCCCACAGAGGCTGGTGTGTGATATTCATCAGTCTCTCTTTTGTAATATTTGATGTTTTGAAATGATCTACCATTTCTTATATTCATCTTCGTTTGTGCTTAATTGTATTTATATGGATGTACAACCTTAATCTATATGATAAGGCATTTCTTAGTATTGTCGATCCTGTATGACTCTATATTAACATTAATATTTAAACTTAGATGGAATTTAAAAAAAATAAAAAAAAAGGAAAACATTAGAACAAACACTATCAAGATGTAATTTTGAAAATTCAACTTTGCTTGTACTGTAACATTCCCTTTAAAACATTCTGGTAGTTGTTATATTTGTCCTAGAAAAAAATTCCAATTATGATAATTCATTGGCAGATGAGCAAAGAAATGATACATAGGATCAAGAAACAAATAATTCACTTTTGCATTTTGTATCAAAAAAGTGCAACCTTGACTTTCGGCGCAACTCCTATCCTGTTCAATTGTAACTTTTTCTTTGCTATTATTTAGCAAAGTCTTATAGGGTAAAAATATTTTTAATGAATCATGCAATATGTATGAAAATTTATTAATAATATTTTTATTTTTTATATTAACAAATATTATATAGTTTTATATAGTTTGCTCTACACTACTTAAATTATCAGATGAAAGTAACTTTTAATATTAAATACTTTTTATTTATTTAATAACTTATATTTTATAATTTAATATAATTTAAAATAAAAAATAAAAAATTCTTTTTATATAAGGGATTGATAATTTTTTGCAATCCAAATTGAAACATTAAACCAAACTTTAAAAAATTTACCTGCATTTTTTTAAAGAAATTCTGTATTAATTTAAGAGGTATTTAAATTAATTATTTAGATCAAATTAATAATTAATAACATATATTTATAATTTGATAATTTTTTATTATTTATAATTTAAAATATTTAATCATTTCAATTCTAACTAACACTTCATGACTGTTTTTGAAACTCAATCCAATGCCCCTTTCCTATCATTAGATATAGGAATGCCAGCTGCCCACCAGAAGAGGAAAAGGGGAAGTAAGCGGTTGGATGGAGTGGAGCCATAAAATTAAAGAACGTCCAAGTCAAGAGGTTATGGGAGAGAAAGACAGAAAGTGAAATAACGTTAGGTACTTATCTAATGGATATTTCGTGACAATTTCTATCCACAAACACTGCACCTCCAAAGAGGAAGGTGACTCAGCAAAGCAGCCATCCACCTCAAAATAGATGCATGCACCGTTCTTGCTCGGCCGCCAAATTAAACACTGCTCGCATGTGCCAAATTCATTCCTAAATTTTTGCCCAATTATCATTCTATGTCATTGCTCAAATATCATTTTTATTAAGTTATACAATATATGGTTAGAAGACAAGATGCTAAAAAGGACATGTGTAAAATATTATATGTGGTGTGTGCTAGTTATCTTTGACTAAATTGAGAAAAGAGATTAGTTTTGAGTTTTTATGTTTTTAACTTTATTTTCATATGAAAAAAATGAAAATCAAGACATCTTGGTAGTTGGTATCAAGATATTCATTATAATCATCAAATAAGTGAGTCTCTGATTATGACCCACGAAATCAACGATGTGATGGACGTCCTAAGTGTTAAGACATCTTAATTTTTCATAGTCCTTTTATATATTATGTTTTTTTTTTATAACAATTACTTCAATTTTTTGAATTTATTTTTCTTTCAATTTAATTAATGCTAATAATATAGTTATAATATCATATAAATTTATAAGTTTATAATTATAATCTGTTATTAAATAAATAAATGTATATAATATCATGATGGATCTTTTAATAAAATAATTAATTATATAATAATATCTTATTATTGTAAATTTATAATGCTATGTGATATTGTAACTAATCATTTTCATTAATTTTGAGATTTCTTGGTAATTGATTAGATTTCGTGGTAATTAATTATGTTGTCTATAGTGTAATAAAAATGGCATTAAATAATGGAATTCAGCCTTTAATTGACCAATACGAGTAATTGAGATTTTTT